GCCCTGACCTCTTTGCGTTGCAGCTTTTGTGCCAGGGGTGCTTTCGCCTTGGTTCGGCCACTCGTGCCCTCACATATCGATCGGGCTTGTATGATGTCGCAGAAAATCTGGGGGTCCGGTCTGAATGTCAGCAGTTGGTGGCAACAGTCTCTCGCATGAAGGGCGGGTGGTCTTCAAAATGTGGCTCTCGCCTCCGCGCCGAGCACACTCGTCCGAAATATTCGCAAAGGTTGCACGGTTTGAGGGCGGGTGGCTTTCAACATGTGGCCTTCGCCTGAGCTCCGCGCACTTTGCTTTTTCTTGGTTTCGTATTGTTTTATGAACAAACAGTAAGGGTTTGACTGGTTGAGGGCGGCTCCTTTTCAACATGTGCCACTCGCCTTCGCGCCGCGCGCACCCGCCTGAAGAAACTATAGGACTTCCACGGGCTTCAATTGTTAGCATACCAGGAATTGTGCTGTGGAGTGATTCTGGACTGTCAGGGCCATTCGTGGTTTTGAACTCCCAGGAATGGAATTCTGGCACGGTTCGGGATCGTCAAGACGCAACAGTCAAGTCGATTCGTGGCGTTGAGCTCCAAGAATGGTGTTTTGTCAGGCTTCAAGATCTTCCAACGGTTGTCTCCCACCAGGGCACTTCCTTGAGTGGAAATGAACCCTTGTGCAGGGGCCTGTGAAGAGGGAGCTTGGAGGGAGGGTCGATCCCAACATGGTCGATGCGTCTTGGGTTTATACTGGTCCTCCTTCTCCTCCTCGTCCTCCTCCTCCTCCTCATGCTCCCCCTCCTCGGGGAGGAGGAAGACGAGGATGAATCCGCTGGAGCTCGCTGCTCGTCACGCAGTGGCAGGCGGAGGCGGCGCGCCCGGGGGGAACAGTGAGAAGGGGCGGGCCCTCCCAGAAGGCTCGGAAGCCCCCCCGGCCTTCTGACGAGGCTTTCGAGCCTCCCCCGAAAGCTCATGCAGAGACTTTCTCAGAAGGCGCGAGGGCTCCTGAGAAGCCCCCGCTGCCTTCTGCGAGGGCCTTCTCCTTCTCACTTCCCCCACTAGGGGGCCACATGCGAAGCCTATCCTACCCCCCACGGTTACTGATGGGAACGGTGGGGTTCACTTCGTTCGGGACCTCCGAGCAAAGTGAACCCCACCCTCCCTCTCAGAAATAATGAGGAGCAAGGGATGCCGTGCTCTCTTCTTCGAGCCTCCGCGTGGACGGACTCGGAGAAGTCCGACGGCGCGCCGAGGGACGAGGCGCCCTCGGGCGTCTTGGTCGTGTCCGTCGCGTCGCTGGGGGCCTCGCCGGCGAGGGCCACGTCGTCGAGCGCCAGGTCCCCGAAAAGCTGGTTGGCCAGGTCGGAGAGTGTGCGCGGGCCGCCGCCGTCGGGCTGCTCCTCCTCCTCCTCCTCCCCCTCCTGCAGAGAATAGAGGAAGAAGAAACTGCATAGACCTAGGCGTTCGACGGCCCTCGCGGACGTCTTGGATCTACGCTAGACTCCTCATCCATGAGATCAGAGTGAGGGGACCGAACGGTCAGTCATTGTCCCCGGGTGCAGGGCTGAAGTAGGGATCCGTGGTGAGGATTATGCTTGACGCGCTGTTGCGCTGTTGCGTTGTTGTTTTTGTTGTTTGTTTGTGTGTTTGTTTGTTTGTTTGCTTGTTGTCGTCGTCCCACCCGCGACCCACCCCGCGACCCGCCCCGCGAGCCGCCCGCGACCCAACCCGCGAGCCACCCGCGACCCAACCTGCGACCCTGCCGCGACCCACCCGCGACCCACCCGCGACCGACCCGCGACCCGGCCCGCGACCCACCCACATTGCTTTGACGAGAAACGGCGCCCGCGGCGGGCTTCTGCTGAGCCCCGCAAACTGCAAACGTTCCCGCCGGCCCTTCACTCTTAGCCGCGACTGCGGGGTGCTACGGTTAGGTCGGGCATGTCCCCCTACAGGCGGATTTTGGACGAAGAATACAACATGGTCAAAAAATGCCCCCGGATGCTTAAAAATTGGTCAACAAATCGCCCCCATGCATTTTTTTTACTATTCTTGGATATCCCCCCTGTAAAGAGACAGGCCCGACTTGATGGCACGGCCATTCTTCCATTCTGGCGGGTAACGGCGGTGAGGCCCGGTCGTTGGCGTGCGACTCGCGGGTGGGGCGCCAGGGGGGTGGCCCGGCCCCAGCGCGACGGCGCCGCTGCCGCCGCTTCGCACTGGGCGGTCGCATGGCCCCTGCATGGTGGGCCCGCACCGACAGGTAACGCCTGCGAAAGGTCACTCTCGGAAGCTGGGCGAGGCTGGCAAATCCGTGGCTGCGAAAGCGATCTTCCCGGAAGAAAAACCAAAAAAATCCCGGCGGAAAGAAAGCTCAACGCCCGAAATAGCAAACGGGCTGCTTCTCGTGCAGAAAACAATTGCCCGGAGCCACGTTTTAACAGCCACGGGTTTGCCAGCCTTCGCCCGGCTTCTGACGCGCTCCGGAGCATTGGCGTCGCGCGAGCGGGGGTGGCGCATGGCGCCGCGACGGAGGCGGCTTGCAGAGAAGCCTCCTCGAGAAGCCCTCGGGGGGCCCTTCTGGAGAGGCCCACGCCTCCAAAGATGGGGAAACCTGAAGATACAGATACCGCCCTTTCCCGGGAGCGGCCAAGAGGGGGGTGTCCAAGAGGGGGGGGTGCAAATTATGACCGGCGGCATGTGCGCGGCCCAGCGGGGGGGCCTGGGACGTAATGAAATGAGAAGAGGCGCCACGAGATCTGGGGAAACATCATGCCCCCCGCATGATATCCACCCCCCCCTAGTCATCACCCCCCTCTTTTCCGCCCCCGAAAAATACAGATACCGCCCTTTCCCCAGATCTCTTCCAGTGAGCCTTCTGACCGGAAGTCTAGGGCGACTCGGGCCGTGGCAGCGAGGGCCTCCCAGGAGGCCCCAAAAGGGCAAAGCGAGGCACGGGTAGCAGTACCGGTACCTCCTCCCTCCTCCTCCTCCGATGATGCTGCTGCTGCTGCTGCTGCGGATGATGATGATGATGATGATGATGATGACGATGATGACGATGACGATGACGATGACGATGACGATGACGATGACGATGATGATGATGATGATGATGATGATGATGATGATGATGATGATGATGATGATGATGATGATGATGATGAGGATGATGAGAAGCCACCCCTCCTCCCTCTCCTCTCGGCGGCGCGCCCGGGGGGGGGGGACGTGGGAGGGGGCAGGCCCTCCCGGAGGGCGGCGGGGCCTCTCGGCAGCCCCCGCGACCCCTGAGAAGCCGCCGCTCTGCCTTCGGAGCATCGAGCGGTGACCGACCGTCCCGGCGTTCCGATGTCTACGACGACGTGTTCTGATTTCGATGCCCGAAGTGGGTACAGAGAGAGTGGGTATACTGCCCAGCAACAAGTGTTGTCCCAAAAAACAAGAGCGGCCGCTGTTGGGCAGGCGGCCTTCTGTCTCAAATGGACACAGGCCGCGGCGGCGCGGACAGCGAGCCCTGTTCAACATGAGCAGGAACTGCGGTTGGGCATTGTACCAATTGTTTCCGTACCCAACCTGTTCCAAGAACAAAAGCAATGTTCTTAGAGCATAAGCCCGAGGTGCTGAAGCAGAGCAATCTCGGAAAGAAAAGTTCCAAACACATGTCGCGCAACCCACAACGGGCTCTTACACTATTCTTTGGTGGGGCTATAGGCGAGCCGGGACGCTTCGCAACTGCTTGAGGGAAGGCTCCACCAAGAGTCTGTGAGGAGGCATCTGAGAGCTCCCGAGTTCTCCGAGAGGGCCCGCCCCCCCTGCCCTCCCCCCAGGGGCTCGCCGCCGATGCTCTCCGAAGGCCGCGAGCAGACGCCGATCCTGGGCCGCCGCGGCCGCGGACGAGGCAGCTGCGGAGGGCGAGCCCGGCGCGCGCGGCGCCGCGGAGGCGCGCGAGCCCGCGGCAACCTGGGCGGCGAACTCGCGCACGTCGTCGTCCAGCCTCATGAGCGGTGGACATGCCATAGCCGCGCCCTCGCGGTCGCTCCGGGGCGCGATCCCCGCGGATGCGCGGTCGCGCGAGGAGGCTGCGCGAGGGGCATCCGCGACAGGACGCCCCTCGTTCGCGGGGTCGCGGCCCAGGGGCCCCGCCCGCGAGGCCGTGGATACAGCCAGGTCTTTTAATTGGCAAATTTTCCACCACCGCTACCATGTGTAGGACGGGGAAGAAGGGGGGATGAGGAGGTCTTCCTCCTCCTCCCCTTCCCCCTCCCCCTCCCCCTCCCCCTCCTCCTCCTCCTCCTCCTCCTCCACCTCCTCCTCCTCCTCCTCCTCCGCCTCCGCCTCCGCTCCTCCTCCTCCTGTCCTCCTCCCTCCTCGTCCTCTCCTCCTCCTCCTCCTCTCCTCGTCCTCCTCCTCCTCCTCCTCCTCCTCCTCCTCCTCCCTCTCTTACTCATGGTAGTTATGGTGGAAAATGGGCCCATCATCTTTCGCCCGCGGCAGCCTCGACCTGACGTCCGCGCCGCCCAGCAGCAGCCTCCAGGAGGGCACTGGCTATTTTACACCCGCGCCGGGCCTGGCCAAAGGCGCAGCCTGGGCGCCAATAGGATCAGTGTGTGCCCTCCTGGCTTGGGCAGGAACGCATACAGTGGAGGCCAGTCCACAAGAAACCTTCCACGAGAAACCCAACCCCGAGACCCCAGGACGTCCTTTCATTTTTGGTATGGGAACGCCACGCTGTCCATAGCAGAACCATCGAAACTCAAGACACCCAGGGCACCCTGGAGACAAGCAGGGTGTTTCTCGGCATGGGCTTCCTATGTCTCCTCTTCGTCTTGGACCTGCTGTGAAGGAGCGCCAAGAGGCCGAGGTGCAGCGGCTGGGGACAAAGAAGTCAGCTATCCGTCCACATCCAGTGCGCCTCGGGTGTCTGGGAAAAGGGAGCCCAGAACCCACAGATGCATGGTGCTTCTCGGCATGGGCCTCCACTGGATGCACAGGTCCTGGGCCCAGAATCGGCCTGGTCGGGAGCGGTGCAGGTGTCTAGTCGGTGCCCTCCGATCCTCCGCCGGTCCTCCGCGTCCGTCCGCACGGGCGGCGGCTCAGCGGGCGACTCTGGGTGGTCCGCCGGCCCTCGCGTCTTGCCGAGGGGCGATCGGGGGCGCGTGGGAGGGATGAGGAGGAGGAGGAGGAGGAGGAGGAGGAGGAGGAGGAGGAGGAGGACGAGGAGGAGGAGGTTCGGCTGTCTTCGCACGGCCCCCCGCTGCCTCCCCATGGGGGTCCCCAGAATCCCGCTCAGGCGAGGGCGGGGGCAGGATACCAGCACGGCAGGGCAGTCCAGCACGGCAGGGCAGACCAGCACGGCAGCAGACCCGCATGGCAGACCAGCACGGCAGACCTGCACGGCAGACCAGACCAGCAGAGCAGACCAGCACGGCAGGCCCGCACGGCAGACCAGCGCTGTAACGTTGGGGGGGGGTCTTGTGCCTTCTGGGGCCCGTCTTGGGGACGTCTCGCAGGTCGTCTCGAGGGCCGTCTTGGGTGCCAAGGCCCCCAACGTCATGTATTTTTTCACGACCTGCACCCCCGAAGGCCTCGACCCACTCCCCGGGACCGGCTTGACATCCCGAGTCGGCGCTTGACGGTCCCGAGGCCCGCTGCGGGCCCATGGAGTCGTTGTCGTGTCGTCGTCGTCGTCGTCGTCGTCGTCGCCGTCGACGTCGTCGTCGTCGTCGACGTCGAACGTCGACGTCGACGTCGTCGTCGACGTCGTCGTCGTCATCATGTCGTCGTCGTCGTCGTCGTCGTCGTCGTCCGTCGTCGTCGTCGTCGTCGTCGTCGTCGTCGTCGTCGTCGTCGTCGTCGTCGTCGTCGTCGTCACGGGTGTTGCGCCAGCCTCTCGGGTGGACCCTGGTCCTCTCGCCTGGCCTGACGCCTTCGGCGCCCGAGCTGCTGGACTCCGCCCCCTTCGACGTGGCGGGCGGCGGCGTCGAGGGCGCGGCGTTGGAGCTGGAGGACCAGTGCGGGTGCGCCTGCAGCGGCTCCCGCTCGCAAAGGCCCCTTTTGGCGGCGGCGGAGTTCAGGAAGCCCTTGTTAAAACCGCTGAACTTGCACGGCCGGGCCTTCTCCAGCATGGAGCTGCGGACCGGCGCCACCCTCGCAAGGGGGTGCGCTGACGAGAGGGATCGCGTCAATCGTAACGCATCCTGGCCCGAGGGGCTTGTGCGCGGGCGAGGGAACGCTTTGGTGGAAGAGGAGGGGGCCATGCCCATGTAGCCAGGAGATTTCATCGCCACGGCCATGATAGCCACACGCCCCTGGACCTCACCCCATCTTCGACGCCTTGTGGCTTTCTGCCCCTTACTCGGGCCTCCGGCGGCCATCCGGGACGATCCGGGCACCCGCAGAAAGCTCTCGACGCGCAGCTGCTGCAAAGCATTCTGAGGCCAGAAAATCCTCAGCAACCACGAAGACACGCCCAGAAACCTACAACGCCCGAAATATCGGTTTAAGTATCGTGCTAACTGGTGTGATCTCGCACTGCACTGTTTCGACCGTCCGTACCTGGGTGTGCTGGGATGTGTCGGTGTACTGCCTCAGTGTGCTGCGGTCCGTATGCTGGGACAAGTGTGCTGAGGTGTGTCGGACGTTCTGTGGTGCTGTGGTGTGCTGGAACACATACTGGCAATGGCCTCTCTGGGTGCTGGGATGTGTGCTGGCATGTGGCGGTGTGCACTCTAGTGCTTGGATGTGTGGGTGGTTGGCTCCTCCCCCGCCCCTGTCCCACTATTCCGACCGACCGTGCCCCCCCCTATCCCCCCGGGGTTCCCCCCGACCGATCGTGCGCCCCCCTACTGCCCGACCGTGGCCCCCTGCCCCTCCCCCCGCTCCCCAAGCGTAGCCCCCCGCTCCCCCCCCCCCGCTCCGCCGACCCCCCCCGCGTAACCCAGCCGGCTGCCTCCCCTCTCTAGTCTCCTCCCCACCGTGGGCCCCGTCGCCCCCCCCCATTCCGACCGACCGTGCACACCTCTCCTGCGCGGGAACCCGTGGCCCCCCCTACCTCTTCCCGCCCACCGCCCCCATCCCCCCCGCCCTCGATCCCCCCCCTTATGCCCCCGATCGCTGTGCCCCCCCCCCCCCCCTCCCCACACTCCCCCCGCCCCCCCCCGCCCCTGTCCCCAGTAGTCCGGCCGACCGTGCCCCCCCGTCCCCCCCCACTCTATACCCCCCGCGGCCCCGCCTCCCCTTCTTCACACCGACGGTGCCTCCCCCCGCTGCCCGACCGTGGCCTCCGCACCCAACCCCGCCGCTATTGTTATCATGATCGACCGTGCCCCCCGCCCACTCGTTCAAATTCCAACCGACCGTGCGCCCCCCTCGCTGCCAAACCGCGCCCCCCCGCCCCCTACCGCGCGTGGTTTTTGTCATTCCGGCCGACCGCGCTCCCGCATTCCCCGCGTGGCCCCCTCTCCCCTTGTTTTGTTCCGAGACCGAAACCGCGCGGTGCATTCCCACAGCCGTGCTGCCATTCGCCGCTCCCTCGTTATGGCCACTCGCCGGCCTGTCGCAGCACTCGCGTGCCTCTCCAAAACTGCCAGAGTTCGTCATCTCACAGTGTCCCGCATCCGTATGATCTTTATCGGGGAGACGTAAGACTCGGGTACGGGGGACTCGGGTTGGCCTGACGGGGGCCATCATCAAAATGACGAGGCCCACTCTGAAATTTGACGCGGGCCCCCGCTGCGGACATCCTACGAAAACGGGACTGTCCAAAATCAGGACGCGCTCGTCTAAAAAAAATCGGCTAGCCCGAGTCCCGGCTCACCCGAGCCTTACGCTTCCCCGACCTTGGCACGCGTGCCTCTTGCTATTTCTGGCGGCTGCTGCCGATGGGGTGGGGCCCGGGTGATGGTAACACGTGGGGCAGGGTTGGGCACTCCAGGGCGGGGGCCGCTGCGTCGTCATAGCACGCCGGCTCGCGAAGACGAAACGCCAAGCCAATGGGGATGTGGGGGAATGGTCCAGGGCCCGCGCAACGTACGATCGCGGCGAGGCATATGGGAACAAAAGTGGCATAAATACAAAAACTCTTAGGACCGCGCGGATTTCCTCGGGATCGGCGCTGGGGCCCCCCCGCGGCGCCTCCGGCGCCGCCCCTGGCGCGCTCCGCGCGCCAGGGAGGGGGGTCCAGCGCCGATCCGAGAAATCCGCGCGGACCTCCGAGTTTTTATGTTTATGTCACTTGTTGTTTCCCTAAGGCCCCTCGCCTACGTACGATCGGTACTTTGGCGGGAAGGAGGTGGCCCGCGCAGCCACTGTTAGCGCCAGGGGATGAACAAAAACATCTCGAGAAACCTCCTCTCTCATTCGACGCCCCCGACCTCAGGATGTCCTCGTCCAAAATCAAGAATGACCGGTCCTTCTTGCCGCGCGTACCGTGCAGGAGCCCCCGGGCCTCCCGGAACTCCAGCGTGACATGCCGGATCTTGCCGTTGGTGGCGCGGAGGTTGTCCACCATGCGCGGCAGCAGCGTGTGCCGGCTCTGCTTGGCCTTCTGGGGCTCCCAGCATAATGCGGTGACAGACCGTGCGGTGGCCGCGAACTGCCTAACGACCTCACCGCCTGGCCCGTCAACGCACGGTTTTGGGGCCTGGGAGGCCCTTCTTGGATCGCCGCGGTCGTTGCTAGGGGGATTCAGGGATCAGAAGTGGATGCTACAGTGGGTTTTAGCTGAGTGGTTTAGGATGGTGAGGTAACTCCGCTAAGTGGTCTCCGCCCACTTAGCTAAGATCTGTGCGCCCTGAAGCCATTTAGGGCATGTGCAGCCCACTTCTAAGCTGGGTTAGGCTGGATAAAACCACCTTCGCATCCACTTGTATCCTTCCATCCCCTCAGCAAGCCCCGCGGCGATCCAAGTAGCCGCCCCATGCGCCCGCGGAG